CAAGGTTGGCTCAACGTACACAAAACCATAAATGTAATACACCACGTTAACAGGAAGAAAGATAAATACCATATGGTCATATCAAATGATGGTTCACATTAAAGGAATAATCAGAATAAGGCTCAATACTGAATGTCTTGCACACATATTATCATTATTTAATCCTATGAATTACATGTAAGGAAAGTGTAATCCCCATTTACTGAGACATACCATATAGCTCAGAGTTGGAAAAACTTAATCCAACCTTATGTTCTTTTTTTTTTTTTTTTTAAAGAGAGATTTTCACTATAGGGCATGTATACTCACCAGAGAGACAGAGGCATAAAGAGACATAGTAACAAATAATTCCCCAGGAGGGATGGCCACACCTCAATCCCTTCTCCAGTCCCCTCTCAGGATTTTGGGCAGGCACACACACGTGTCCTGCATGAATTTTAAGACACTGAGTCCTCGACTCAACCCATGGCTGACCACGTGGGAGCCCAGAGTCTTAAGCACCAAGCTACTGCTGCCTCCCACCCCCAAGAAGTTCTTATTTTTGATGATTGGCCTCTCTACCTTTTCGCTATTAAGCATGGGAAAGTATCCGGATCTTCTTTAGTAGTGTCCTACAGATAACACATTTTAAATTGAAGTACAGAAAGTCAGATGACCTCTCTCTTTTAGGTAATCCTGGACTTTTTCCTGATGTTCCCATAACTCCCTATCCTGGAATTATGTTTTCTCCATCACTACCTCCAAATCTTGGAGGCTTTCAGTACATACGCTAATGTCAAGAGAAGTTTTTGAGGGAGTAACACTTGCTTAAAAAACAAAACAAAACTAACCTTAGCTATTGCAAACAAATGATCATTACAGTTATCTGACAGTCAAGACTTCTGGCCGTGATAGAAATGAACAAATGAAACACATCATAAGACCAGATCGAAAACACAATGCCATTCTCTTTCAAAATTCAAAAAAATAACAGAAGTGAACTTAAAGCAAACAGTAAAGAACAAAGAGAACTCAACTGTGCGTTGGAAAAAAAGTGCTGATATTTGATTAGAAGGGTTGAAGATGTCCTGACAGATGGGGATTGGGCAGGATGCAATCGACACAGAATTGAGACTACAGGAAAAGAAGTTCAACATGTGCTGGAGTGAACATTTGTTAGAGTGAAGAGATTCTTGTAGAAATAGAAAATGAGGTTTAGCATAGGACTTGGGTAGTTATTGAAGTAGAACACAAGAAAGGATGAGAGTAAAGATATACAACTAGATGCCGACAGCGACCTTATCCCAGGTCCTCTGTCCTTGCTTAATATGTGGCTTTTCACTATAGAAAGCAGACGTGAATCACTAGACAATGGCTTTTTAAAGGCACATTAAGTTACAGATCAGCAGATCAGTCTGAACTGATTCATCATATAATAGAAAATATTGTGTTACATGGTGTCAACTATGAAATCAAACATAGAATAGCAAAATATGTATACTTTTGGTAAAGGGTTATATAGTTTTGAAAATATCAGAGTATTTGCTCAGAGAACAGAAAACATTGGAATCTTACAGTTTATTGACACTTTCATTTTTCCTCCGAGCTTGCAGTCAATGGGACATAAAATTCTGTCCACAATAGGGCTTCTCTCTTTCCTTCGTATTTCCTAGGTTACGCACTTATATATGTATATATATACACTAAAGTTATAAATAGCCCTTTCTAGGTTTATTATATCAGTGTCCAGGTAAGAAAACCGGGGGGCTGACTGATGACACATCAGTACTGCAGTGTTCTGTGAGGCTTGCTCCCATAAGAGGGTTCCAAGTTCCTATCTGGAGATGTCTCTGAATGAGCTATGGACACATGCCCATGACCTGGGGATGGATAAGAAAAGGTATGGATCATGACTTGAACACTTCTTTGAGGGTGCCTGTCTCTCTCTCTCTCTCTTTAATTAAGGGAAAAAAGAAAGAAAGAAAGAAACTTAAGAAAATAAAATAGAAAAGAGTCTAGGCATATTGAGCGGAGATGACTTCATACAGGAATTGATAATAGATGTGTTTGAAAAACCAGAGAAGCTGGAGACCAGCAGTTAGCGTAATGGCTATGTCGCTGGACTCCCACATAGTTGACCGTGGTTCGAGTCCCAGACCCGGTGGCTTAAACTCACGCCGGGTGCATGTGTGTGCGTGTCCAAGATCCCGAGAGGAGAATGGAGGAGAAGGGATTGCGGTGTGGCCATCCCCCCTGGGGGGTGATTTCTTGCTTTCTGTCTCTCTGTCTCTCTGTCTGTCTCTGTCTGGCTGGCGAGCACACACCAGGGACCAGCCTCTGCGTGGGTGGGTTATCTCGACGGAGGCCGTGAAGGTGAACAGAAGACAGAGGCCTTGATGCCTTTTCATGCACGTCCTATGCCGGACACCCCTCAAAGATTGCTCTCTGAGGGGTGACAACTGCTAGGAATCATCGTGCGTTTTTATTGAAAACGTGTTACATGCAAGTAAAGGGAGAGGGGCTAGTGTTTCAATTAACAGCTCATAAAGTTTTTAACAATAGAGAACATAGATTCTATTCAGGGTTTGATTAAGGGTGGGTCTAGTGCAGTTCCGCAATTGTAGGTGGGTCTCCATGGAATGCAGTTTTGGGAAAGCGGTTCCAGTAAGCAGAGATGATTATCAGCTGATGCGGTGTAGCAGCCATCTTGTGATTACTGGGAATGGTGCTGAGAAAAGAAAATCTCAAGAATAGATATTAGTTCTTATGGATCTTAATAAAGAATGATACCTATACAGTTTTGTAGGGATTTAAAACTTAATTTGAGGAATCCTAATATATGGCTGATGGCTGAGCAGTACTGCAGCGTTCTGGGAGGCTTGTCCCCATAAGAAGGTTCCAGGTTCATGTCTGGAGACATCTCTGAATGAGCTATGTACACATGCCCATGACCTGGGGCTGGATAAGAAAAGGTATGGATCATGGTGTGAACACTTCTTTGTGGGTACTTTTCTATGTCTCTGTCTCTCTCTCTGTCTCTTTAATTCGTGGAAGAAAGAATGAAAGAAACTTAAGAAAATAAAAAATAAATTAGAAAAGAGTCTAGGCATATTGAACAGAGATGACTTCATATAGGAATTGGTAATATATGTGTTTGAAAAACCAGAGAAGCAAAAAAAGGAGTTATGAGGGATAAACTCTTGATTGATAATTGCAGGAAGGCCACACCACCACTAGAGCTGGAAAGGGAAATGAAAGGTTGTGTTGTCCAGATCCCAAGATACTGAGGCTACTCCTGTTGGAACTGAGTTGCTTGACCTCAGGAGCTCACATACAACATCCACCACTATGAGAGAGATTTTTGCTATAGGGCGCATAAGCTCACTGGAGAGACAGAGAGAGAAGGTGAGAAATCACTCCAGAGTGGTTGGCTATGCTGCCATCCCTTCTCCTCCATTCTCCTTTCAGGATTTTGCGCACACAGGCACCCCCACCCGGAGTGAGATTTAAGCTGCTGGGTCTGAGGGTCCAAAAGTAATCGGCCATGTTGGGGTCCAGTGCTTTAACCATTGTGCCACCTGCTGGCCCCCAACATCCATCACTGTGAACACTGCCAATACTGGGCCTCTGGGCTACCACAGGCACTGCTGTCACAAGCACTGCAAGCTGTGAGGTCAAAAGTAAGAAAGAGGAAGCTCGCCTTGTGCTCTCCTCCCCCCTTCTCATCTCACGTCAGAGCCTTCCACTGGAGAATCCAGCAAGGAGCCAGCTGGCAAGACAGTCTGTGAAGTATACCTTGCATGTGTTTAGTTTCAGCAATAGAGGAGTGGGTAGGAAAAAGCACTCTGGAACTAATAAAATGTAGAACCTAGTTGGCACATAGTGATTGCAATCTAGTGTCCTGGTCTTATTTTTCAGTTAGTTGGGGTGTACTTGTCTGACCTATAGAACAGGTGATATTGATAAGTTTATGGCCTATGACATGATTTTTATTTAATTTTATACATTCAGTCACTGTACATCACCACAGCTTTTAAAGTGAATTTTCCTAGAATAAATACTCTACACACCAGTCTTGTTAAAGATATCATACCATTATCAACATGATTATTTTAAAAAATGGTTTTATTAGCATAACACATTGATCAAGTAACCACCACACAAGCTTTACTGGGGACTAGCCGTGTACTAGGTGGATAAGAAAATCTTCTGGAAGGACTTATTCCTTACAGCCTAAAGAACTGCAGATTCACAACTGGAAAGAATACCGTCAAGGTGCTAAACTATGTGTACTTATCGTATTAGACAGTGATGGAGGTTACTGAGGGCCAATAACCACAAGGAACTAAAGATTCTTATTAACTGCAAAGAACTGTTGGGGAAGAAGGTCTTCCTGGGGCACAAATTATGGAGTTAAGAAAGCAAACATTTTCAAGAATTCTAAGTGGTTCTAAGCTCATTCGTTTATTGTTTCATCTCAAATACCCTGAGGTTATTTTTTGTTCTTCTTCATTATGTTCTTCCAGATGTCCTTTCCTTGAACTATCTTATCCATTTTATTACTGATTTATTTATTACCTTACTTATAAACATTATTATTGTATAAATATATATATTATTGTGTATGATTTATAACTGTATGTATATTATTATATACATTTTATTTTTACTTGTTATTTCTATACATTCCATTGCCATTATTTATAGTTGACACAATGTGCTTTAGTACTCTAGAATGTGTTCCTCTTAATGTAACTGCAACATTAAGCCCCACACCCCTCCTAATCCTTAATGCCTTTTCCGTGTGTGTACACCACAGGCAGCATGCTTTTTAAGGCCTCTAAGGATTCCACTTTTATGGGAAAACAAACAGGAGATGTAGTTTTTTGCAGTCCACTTATTGAACTGAAAGTGTATGTGAGGTTTCAACAGTTGTCTTGCACCCTTGGGCTCAGGCTCTGCCTCAGGCCTCTTATCTGGGAGGGTCCCATTTATCACACATGCACATGTTCAATTATTTATTAAGCATCCATAGGCCATGGTTGTTCTGCCGCATCTTGTTGAGGTCCCACAGAGAAACCTTCTTTTGTGGTGGTGACAACAGTCCATTTTCCCTTTCTGAAACTCTGAAAGGAGAGGAAAAGGAAGAGACTCAGAACCAAGAACCAGAGGATGGACACATGGATGTGCAGACAATGAGAATTTTCTCAGAGTCAGCCCTGGTCCAGTGTGGGGACACATTTAGAGAGAGAACCTGAGGTGTGGGGACATGCTCTGAGCAAACACCACCTGTCCTTTTGGGGTTTGGCAGAACCTTGTAACTTGTCTTTCCTTGACCCACGCTGCAGACAGAGCAAGGGTGGAAATTGCTAGGGGCGTTCCAACAGACACATCTGATGGACTTCGAGAGACATCTTGACCCCAACTAGCAAAGTCCAATCCTTGCTCTGCATCTGAAAGGTTCTTTAGCCTTCTCTGGGTGTGGTGGTGCACTCCTTATGGAGAAGTTCTTTAGCTCCTTCCCCACACCTAATAGCTAGATTTCTCTGCATTAGAAAAGAAGAAGAGACTTTCTCTTGATGGGATTATCACCAAGGGATACACCTGGCCCAGTATGACTAAGCCCTTATACATTTGTTAACTGCTTCTTATTGTCTGTAACCTGGCAACGAATCTGTGAAGAGTCATGAAACATACATGTGTAATGTCTCCTTGTACTATAAATAAAGAAGGCCCAGTTTGTCTGGGTGGCTTAAGCGGCTCAAGTAGCGGCACAAGTTGCTTGGGCTACCTAGGCTCAGGCTGCCTGTGTCCATTTCCACTCTATGTCTTTGTCTCAATCTTTCCAATTACTCGGTCCTGGCAAGATCGAGGGCTTTCTCTTTCTCGTCCTCTTTCTCTTCCTCACCAGCAGCCCCTGATCATGATTCAGCTAAATCCAAGCCCATGGGTGGACGCCGACAGTCCAGTCCCTGAGGTGAATATGTATTTTTCCAGTGAGGAGCGGAACATTTTGAGGAAGAACAGAAGCTCTTGACTGGGGAATCATGAGCAGAAGTGTGACTGTAGTCATGAAAATTCTCATGTACTGAGCCTGTCTGATCATGGCTTTGAAAGGAGGAGATTTCAGAACTGACCTAATGAAATTATGAGACACAGCTGAGCAGAAAGTCACTTAAGATTTGGTCACTGGAAACAGAGAGAATTTCAGTGACCCTCAGTACTTTGTAAAATGTAAAGGGTTCCCAATACTAAAACATTTAAGAACCATCAAATAACTAGGGACATATATGTCCGTGTATATTTATAGGTATTTTGAATAATACTAATAACTCTCTTGATGATTCCCACTTACCATTAATACTTACAAATACAAAGGAAGAATGAGAGAAAATGGAAGTTGGCATAAGTGAGCAGGGATGGCCTCACTGGAAAGGAAATACTTGAGTAAAAACCAAAGAAGTAATTGAAATTAAAGTGAGAGTACAGTGGGAATTTCAAGAAGTATTGTTGCATGCTGCAAATTCCTAAATATTCTAATGACAGGAGTACAAGCCATTATTTTTAAAATACTACCTAGTTTAGGGACTGTTTTTGGGCAAAAAAAATGTTGAAGATTAGACCATGTGAAAAAATCATTTTGACTCAGTTGCAGAAGATCTTTCTCAGTTTCTACTCTTTTTCCTTTCCCTCCAAAGTGTATACCTTCTTCTCTTGTTTCCTAATTTTTTTTGCCTTTAATCATTGTACATATTTACAGCATATAAAATGATTTTCCCAGCATGAATACACTGTACACTGTATATTAGTCCAAAGATATTATCGTTCACATTATCCTAAACAGGTAATTTTCCATTTTGGTGTCCCTTAAATTTATTTCCCCCTTGATTCCCTCCCTACCGTCTCCCCAGTACCCACCCTCTCCCCTCACTGTACTATCACAGTTGCTCTCCATGCTTTTATACCTTCCAATCTTGCAGTTTCTGCCACAGAGGGCTGACATTTTGCATATATTGAATAGAGACATACAGTGCCTCTCTTTCATAGCTTGGCTTGCTTCAGTTAGCAGTAAATCTTCCATATTTGCCTCTCTTACATGGTCTGGCTTACTTCACTTAGCAATATGTCTTCCATATTCATCCACTTTCTATCAAATGCCAGGGTTTCAGGTTTTTCTTTTTTATTGATGAGTAGTATCCCATAGTGGATATGTGCCACAATTCTTTTAATCCATTCATTTGTTCTTAGACATTTGGGTGGATTCTATGTCTTAATCATTGTTAATAATGTTGCAATAAACAGAGATGTGTAAATGTTTTTCTGTATTTATTCCTATCTTCTCAGTCAGATTGCTGAATCATATAGCAGTTCTATTTGTAGAAGATTAAGGAACCTCTATATTGTTCACCACAGTGGGCTGTACTAATCTGCATTCCCACTAATATTATAGAAGAGTTCCCCTTTTTTTTTTGAAGAGGTTTTTTGCTATAGTGCTCGTGTGCTCACCAGACAGACACAGAGAGAGAGACAGAAAGCGAGAAATCATCCCCCAGGGGGGATGGCCACACCGCAATCCCTTCTCCTCCATTCTCCTCTCGGGATCTTGGGCACGTGCGCACACGTGCCCGGCGTGAGATTTAAGCCACCGGGTCGGGGACGTGAACTGCAGTCGACTACGTGGGAAACCAGTGACATAGCCATTATGCTAACTGCTGGTCCCAAAGAATTCCCTTTTTCAGAACAGCCTCTCCAGCACTTATTATTCATTTTTAAGTTTATTATTAGTATTTTTTTAAGAATTACTTTTACTTAATTTATTTTAATTTGACCAGAGAGGAACAAAGTGAGTGACAGACAGAGAGACACAGAGAGAGAGAGAGAAAGAAAGTGAAAAGGTAAGCCGCCACAGTCAACAATGTGGGAGTCTAGCGCCCTCAACCACCTCATCACCTGCTGGCCCTTCTTTTGATTTTTTTAATCTGAGCCATTCTGAGTGGGGTTAGGGTATCTCATAGTAGTTTTGATTTGCATCTCCCTTATGATAAGGGATGTTGAGCATATTTTCATATGCTTTTTGGCTGTTCATATGTCTTCCCTGGAGAATTGTTCAGCTCATTTGCCCATTTTTTGATCGCATTGATCATTTTTTTACAGGTAAGCTGTTTGAGTTCTCAATCTACCTGCATAGAAATGAAACGGGACTTCTATCTTTCAACTTTAATCTTTCTATTTTTTTAACATAGTCTAAATGGTATTAAAAGTAACAATTTACTATCATTTCATCTAGGTTTGATACAGTTGTCTGAAATGGGAGATGCCCAATATACTTGGTGTTCCAAATATGGGGCAATAGGAATGTGCAAAGTATGGACAGTATTAAGGTGCAAAATTTGTTAAAAGTTTAAAAGTGATAATAAATTAACTAAACGTCTATTTCATTTTTATTACCGCTGTGAGTTTACTTTTCAAAAAATAATATTAATAATAAGGTACTCTACGGAAAAAATTTCGCTTTACATTCTAAATAATTGGTTCAGATTGCTGGATGTAGCCTGGGACTGACTCAGTTTTCTCCACTTCTTCACTTGTAGTTCTCAAGTGGAATTGGAATCTTCTGGTAATGCAACATCCTGAGATAGGGAGGGACTAGCTGCAATAGCCTAGGCTCTGTTTCGGTACCTCTCAAAATAGAATATCCTTCAACGTTTTAATCCAGGGAGTCCTATCACCTCCAGGGGCTTAAGCCTGAGATGAGATGCTTTCTGAGGTCCTCGAGCTGTGGTGAAAGTGGAGCACAAAGGAACAAAACTACTTCTCCTTGGGCTGCTTTCCTGAGCCTTGAAAGGACCAACCAATGCTAAATCTCAGACTCCTATTGTCCTTTGCTGTAGAATATCCTTCAACGTTTTAATCCAGGGAGTCCTATCACCTCCAGGGGCTTAAGCCTGAGATGAGATGCTTTCTGAGGTCCTCGAGCTGTGGTGAAAGTGGAGCACAAAGGAACAAAACTACTTCTCCTTGGGCTGCTTTCCTGAGCCTTGAAAGGACCAACCAATGCTAAATCTCAGACTCCTATTGTCCTTTGCTGCTTATTTTAGGGAAATTTCTTCACTTAGCTTTTAAGAGTATTCTGTTTCACCAGACTCATACAAGCAGTGAAAATTGCACCCCAAGATGTAGTGAGCTGGGGGCCAGGAGGTGGGTGGTGTTAAGGGCGCTGGACTCCCACATGGTTGACTGTGGTTTGAATGCCAGATGTGGCAGCTTGCTTTCTCTCTCTTTCTCTCTCTGTCTTTCTCTGGTCAAATTACAATAAATAAATAAAGTTGAATAAAATAATTTTTTAAAAAAGATGCAGTGAGCTAGAGTAGTAAACAGAACACAGTGAACCTGCTTCACAGTAACCATCCACCTAGAGCAGATCTGTTCCTTCGGCCTTTCCTTGATACAACCCAGGCCCCACATAGTCATTAGGAACCCAGGCTCTTCCAACAACTGGCTCCATGTATCATAAGACCTTGGGATCTGCTGGAACTCTGCATGTACCAGATGATGAAATAGGGAGGAAGTTCTATGGGCCAGATCTACAAATGATATTTATTACTTCCTGTATTTTAAATAGCCATGAACTCATTTAGTCACTTCCTCTTGGAATCATAGTCTTGCTGTGTGTCCAAGAGAAAAAGTAAAATGGCTTAGTAAATAGCACTCAGTTTCTGTTTTTAATGTCTTTACTGTGTTGATCACATTCTATTTTGGACATTGTTTATCCTGTAGGTGAACATTGTCCTTCACTTCTATTCCTGTCATCCTCAGCAAGAACAAGAAAAGAAAGCACATATATTAAGAGTACCATTTTAAGGCTATTACATCCTATCAACTTATGTTTTAAGTGGTTTAATTCGAATATAAATTTAACTTCCATGAGCTACAATTTTGGCTTATATCCATGCATGTATATTAAGTTTGCAACCAGAATGGCTTATTTCTGCCTGGACATGTGTTACTCTCCTCCAGGCTGGCCCTGCCTGTCACTACAACATGTAGCTAGGGACCATGCTGAGAAGAAGTAGGAAAAACACTTCCACAAGGTCTTTCCTCTCATCCTCTTCTTTCTGTAAATGATAGGTACTGCATGAATGATTCTAGTCTTCTAATTGGTCTCTAGGATTCCTACTTCTCCCATTTCATTTTCTTCCCAGTGTGTTTTCCACACGATTTTAACTCCGGTTTTCTATGCCTCTTGCCTCAACAGACCCCACCCACACAGCCTCCCCCCCATACACACACCAAATCTTGCAATCACTCCATGAGTACTGACACACATCTTAGATGATGAGGACCTGTGTGAATAAGATCACTATTACCCTGCCCACCCGGAGCTCACAGCCTAGTGCTGGAATCAGACATTTTACCGAAATCCTTTTAAAATTCTTGAATGATTTATTGATAATGTAGGAGTATGGTGCTGAATTACCAAATGATTAGGCATTTTCCTGTTATTCTGTTCTTAATTTTTACTTTAATTCAACTGTAGTCTAAAATCATAAAAAGAATATTTTCAACTATTTAAATCTTGTTGAGGTCGGCTCTTTGACACTCACCAGCTACTGCACTGAACCCACTAGGCCTCATTCTGTGGTCTTCAGATCACCACATCCAATACCGGATGTGAAGGGCCAGGCCTGGGTTGACAAGACGTCAGTGTTCCTATTCTCCTCAGAGATGCTCGTCCAGACTGTGCCATCACAGAGCCATTTACCAGCAGTGTCCCTCCCCACTGCATACCGCCGCAGTCCTCATTCTCCTTGTTCTCCAGTGGACTGGCAGACCTCTCCCATCCAGTTCTGCATCAGGGCCTCAACATCCATCCTAAAGTGAGTCCCCTGTGGCTTCCTCAGGGAGACCTATGTTCCCTTGAAGTGAAGTACAGCGTAATTTCCTCCATCATCCACAACACTGAGCAGAGCTCTCAGTGTTCCCTTTCTCCCTCCCTGGGTCTTCACCAAAATGGGCTTTCCCATGGTATTCAAACTCAACAGTGATGATTGTTCTTAGCAAACTGGAGCCTCATCTGCATTCCCACCTTAAAAACTAGTTGTCTTGTGGGCCCCCGAGCCAGGACACTCCAATAGACAGAAACGAGTTTCCTCATCCTTAGAAAAAGCTGGATGTGGACACCTTATGCCACAAACACTCAGTCACTCTGTCTCATTGTCTGTAAGCTACTTCAGGTTCTTTCTGTGAAATGTTAGTTCTCTGGGCAATTTTGGAATGTTTCATCCATGCCTCCTCCCTTTACTAGGATACACTTCTAACTATATAGATCTGACATTTTCAGCCTTGGATTTGGTCACTGTAGCAAGCATCCCTGTCTCAGGGACTCAATGCCTGCCACTTGGCAAGGGCATTCTGGAGGTGCTGCTTCCCTCACTGGAAAAAAAGACATGATATCCTTATCAATGGACCAGGGGTATCTCTGAACAGATTCACATTTTCTACCTAATAGCTTTTAAGTTCTTTATTTCACAAGATAGAGAGGCACCCTCAAAGGGACTCACACCACAACGCTCCCTTCAGCCTTCCCAGCCAATCAGGAACACAGGCATATGCACACCTGCTGGTTGTGTACAGGTTGACAGGGAACTGAATCCCTGTTTTCCATATGGTCTTCAGCATTCTAGAGTGTGGGGTGACTGCTGTGCCACCATAGCAAAACCCTAGTGCAATTTTTTTGAAAGAGATTTTTGCTGTAGGGTGCGTGAACTCACCAGAGCGACAAAGAGAAATAAAGAGACAGAAAGTGTGAAATCACCCCTAAGGAGGGATGGCCACACTACAATCCCTTCGCCTCCATTTTCTTCCTGGGATTTTGGGCACACATGCACATGAGCCTGGCATGAGTTTTAAGCTACTGGGTAGGGAACTCAAACTGCGGTTGACTAGGAGGGAGTCCAGTGACATAACTCTTACACCATCAGTGCAATTTTTAAAAAAATTTCATATAGCGCACGTGCATTCACCATAAAGAGACAGAGAGAATTCACCCCCCCAGGGGGCATGTTCAGACCACAATCCCTTCTCCATTTTCCCCTTGGTATTTTAAGCACACGTGCGCACAGGCCTAGTGTGACTTCTAAGCCACCAGGTATCAAATCACATAGTTGGCCATGTGGAATTTAGTTGCCTTTATTAGATGACTGGCTTGCAGTTTGATGTAATGTTTTTAAAACCAAAATTAATGCCCAAATCTATGATGAAACAAATACCAAAATTTTAAAACAAGACTGAACCCATCCACCTTCACCCAAGTCATCTCACTTGCCACAGGCCTTTCCCCATGGCCCTGCACTCCTGGGCAATGACCTGAGAGCAGACAGAGGAGACTGGCTCTGGAGAACAGGACTCAAAGGGAACATGAAGACTGCAGTGGAAGCAGGACTCTGAGCACAACTAACAATAGAACTGAGGA